TTAAAAAGTCTTGAATTTAACTTGCCTTATGCTGTAGGAACCCTGTGCGCCCTGAGCGATTTGCCCACGACAATCGGGAGAAAATCAAACGTTTGATTTTCTGTTTGATCGCCCCTCGTTACCCCCTGTAACCTACACGCCTCACGACGCACGATCAGGCTGAAAGTCGGCCCAATCAAAAAATTCTCGCACGACTGGAAAATCGCCCCGAAAATCGCACAGTGTACGCCGGGCTTTAAGGGTTTTTTGTTCAGAGACCCAGAGTGGCAGTCTGTGGGAGTGGGGCTTGATCTGAGAACCTCAGGATTCCAAGCTTTACGCCCTAACCACTAGGCCACCATTCCCCCATGTTTCCTCTTCCTCGGTTTGGTCCTCCTCATCTCAATTTCATTTTGTGATTTCTACATTCTCATCATATTTTAGTGTGCTGCGATTCAAACTAAAAATTATACTCATTGCTGTTTTAACTGGACAGACCTAGCGCTACAGAACCTAGCTTGCTTTATTTATCCAGCATAAATAACATGGCGACATCGACGTGAGAATATTTTATTACAAATCAAAAGCTTACAGTGTGTTTACCGTATTTTGTTTACATTGAAAATATATATATATTTTTTTAAATAAAGTCTTTTAGAACTAATCATAGATCCCTTTAAATGGCATTGAAATGCTTTCTTCAAACTCCACCGAGAGAGAATTTGGTGAACCTTAGACATCTCATCACATTGTTAATATTTAGCCTTTTTCTTCTAAAGGTGTGAATCATTTGATGTTAGTCCAAAGAGGCAATCCAAAACTGAAGAGAAAACCATTATATTTTTCATTATTCTTGGATTCTAAATACATTTCTTGCATAAAACTTTAGAAATGAGGGTGGGCTAGTTGGACAGCGCTGAATTGCTGCCTCTTTTCCTCACTGATACCTGTGGCCCTTGGAAAGAAATGTGAGACGGAGCATGGCTGCCATTTCTGTCTTCACAAAAGCCGTGTCATGTGTTTCTTTTTTCTTTCCTGTTAGGCTCGATGGTGAAGATGAACAGGAATTTGAGAAACTGCATTCCTTCAATAGTACGACTGACACATCCACCCCTGCAGAGGGGGGTAGTGACAACAATAGCACAAAGAAAGAGGAGCCAAAGACGAGTCAGCTTGGCCAAACAGAAGGTGAGCACCCTAAGGGAGAACGTGAATCTGAAACCTCTCTCTGTTCATTGTCCTTAAACCCCATGCTTGCTTTTTTTTTCTTTTACTGCAGGAGGTAGCAGAGTCTGGAGCGTATCCGAGGGTGCTGAGCCATTTCTCTCCAAAGGAAAACCAAAGGAAGCATGCCCAAAAGAAGAGGAGGCTGAGAACAGCAAGGACGAGACAAGGCCTAAAGGAAAGGAAGCCAGGGAGCCTGAGAGAGATGTTTATACCTTCCCTGGAGACTCTGACCCAGAGAGTCCGCCCCCTGCTCCTTGGGCTCAGTGCACGTTCATTCAGCGGCGCAGGAGGAAGAGGGCGCTGCTCAGACCCTTCTCTGGAATGGGATCGCCTGAAGCTCACATGTCAGAAAGACAGAGTCCTCAAACATCTAAAACCGCTGAGGCGGCTCCGCACAGTCCATCACAGGTTTATGAATTCGAGGAAGATGACGAGACGGTGAAGTTCACAGACGAAGTTGAGGAGAAAAGCGAGTCGGGGTCTGGAAACGAGATCTACACCTGTGTGGAGTGTAGCATTTACTTCAAAAAGCAGGTCCACCTGCAGGAGCACATGGCTGAGCACTGCCAGACCCCAGCGGGAGGAAGCAGGCGTTCAGGAAAGGGCAGCCGGTTACGGTGTGCGGAGTGCGGCTGGATCCTCCCAAACCGCCCGGCGCTGGCCGACCACCAAAGGAGGCACCAGGAGTCCCGTCTGAAGATTCTAGAGGAGATTGAGAAACTGAATGAAGTGGAAAAGGCAAAAGAGTCGGAAGGAGAGGAGAGTGGAGCGCTGAAGCACGCCGACCCAACTGTTACGCAACATCCAGGGGAAATGTCAGATGGCGAAATGGGGAAATCTCCTCCTCCGGCCACAGATTCATCCTCAGTTCAGGATCCAGATTCTGCTGCCATAGACGTGGACTCGGTTCCTCCAAATTCAGCCCGAAGCCCAGCACAGGCCCACCGCCGCCGCTTTGTCTGCAGCGAGTGTAACTTCAGCACAAGAACTGCCCAGGCTCTGGCTAATCACTCCAAGATTCACAAGAGGAAGAGGCAGATCCTCCATCCCCAGCGGGGGCAGAGGGTTCTAAAGGAGCGCCAGGCTCTGGTTCAGCCCCAAACTATGCCAGTTGAGCAGAACAGGGAAACCAGCCCGTCTCTAACATCTAATGCACAAGTTCTTGACACCGATCCAGGTTGTCAGTACCTCTCTGAGTGCGAATCCCCACCTGCTGCTGCTGCTGCCACAAGCCAGGGGGATGTCACTGCCTCAGAGGACAGCACGGCATCAGACCATGGAGCTGCCCGGCACAACTATGTCACAAACAGGACATTCAGGACAGCAGGGAAGTCCAAGTTTGATCCCGAGGCAGATGATGATGCACTGCCTGGGAGTGAAGAGGAAGAGGAGGAGTGTGACAACGGCGAGGAAGAAAAGCCGTCCCAGCCAGAGGCCGACTCACCTGTGGGCAGGAAGCTGAACAGTCCAGGTGAGGCTGCAGGGCAGAATGGAAACTTCAGTCTGGATGGTAGATTTCACAGCAGTTACACTTACCTACAAAATATAGCTGAACCCAAAACTATTTATACCCGTGGAAGATTTAGGTTTTAAAGCAGCATCTGAGCTTTAATACATTTCCTCAGACAAGCGGACTTTATAGGGATGGAAAATCTGGGGATAAAAAAAATGAGAAATTTCACAATAATCAGTAGAAGGAAGGTCAGTGATCTGTCTTCTACTGATTATTGTGAAAATTCATTTTTTTTTTATGGCATATTTTAATAAACTACAGAAAAACTATAAACAATACTTTTTAAAGTTGACAGATCTTTGTAATATTATGTATTAGTTATGCCTTTTTTTATTTTCTGTCCATCCATCCATCCATCCATCCATCCATCCATCCATCCATCCATCCATCC